AGATAACAGAGACTGTTGATTGCATAAATAAAAGAATGAAATTTTCTCGTGCAATTCGCTTGCCTGATGCGTTAAACTGATAGCTGCTGCTGCTGTTTAGATGCAGGAGGGTGAAACCATTGGCAGAGTCATCTCATTCTGTTCGCATCTGGTCACTCTCCGATGCGGACCTTGAACGAGGCTGGCACTCCTGATCCTCAGGTAAGCCTGTCATAGTTATTAGTCTTTAACTAGATCAGAGGACTCAGCGGAGAGTGCCTAGCTGCCCGAGCATGTATCATGTATCGTGCTCGCTGGGCGGGCTAGCTGATGACTGCGCCGCTGGCTGACTCGGCCGGTCACTGGCTGCTGCTTGACTCCGCACTAGCTGCTGACTCGACGCTATCGATCGGCGGGGCTACACACACACAAGCACCGACACACCACAGCTACGACAGCACACGACCACCACACACACACACACACACGACACACCACACAGCAAACTACACACAACACAACACACACACACACACACACACACACACACCGTAGTAACGGAGCCTGTCTGCTGGACGCTTCTAAAGGCGAGCTGCTGCTGGCTGGTCCGGCGCTAAGGCGAGCTGGTGCTGCATGCGATCGCGGCCAACTTGCTGTACACATGTATCGTGCCTCGAGCGTGCTGGCTACAAAACACACGAAACGCATCACACGGAGAGAATCACGATTCAACATTAGCTCCCCTGCAACTCTGTTGCAGGCGGAGCTAATTAAATGTATGAATAAAACTAGACGAGCGGCACTCCAAAGATGAGTGCATATCTCCTGCGCGAGCGTACATGTATCAATAACAGCTGGCGAGCTGCGCTGCTGCTGAGCTGGAGCCCTAAAGGCGAGCTGCTGCTGACGTGATGCCCTAAGAGCAGCTTGCTGCCGACTGACGCGGACCTAAGGCGAAGCTGGCGTGAATACGATGCGCAAGACACACACACACTGAACGCACACAACGGGCACACACACACAACACAACACCACGAACGGCCGATGCCCTATCCAGATTATATTATAGAGATCAGTGCGGTAAACAAACAGAACACAAAATTGTAATCGTGCATGATTTCATTGGATTTGGTGAATACGAAGGTTCTAAGACATTTTATCGTTACTCTAGACAATTGCTGTTACTCAAGCAATAACGGTAGGTATCATGAAAGTGGGGAAAACACTAGAAAATTCTCGCGGTACACACTTTAATGTATACAAACCTACTGAGAGTACAATTACTGTAGTATTCTTCACGTATGCTTAACGTTCGTGCTTTCATGTTGTAAGTCATTTCTGGGAAACCACCCGTGAGTGACCTAAATAAATTTACTCGACCGTTTCCGTAACCACCAGTTGGATTAGTGGGTATATAGTAAGCCCAGGGTTAGAAATTAACTTTTGAACAAGGGAGTCCAACGGACTCCCTGTCCTCAAAAAGATGGAGTACGTAGCAAAATGAGGGAGTCCGTAGTCTGAAGTTCAAAACTAAAGCACAACAACAATAACGCATGTGCGTATTTGAAGATTGATGCGATGCATGTCTGCCAAATGTTCTTTGGACATTTGCCGAAAAAAATACGGTAATTCCGTGAGGCTGTGCTCTGGAACGAACTTTTTAGTATAGCAGAATTTTCAGGGAGTCCCACGCACTCCTGCAGATGTCAAATCAGGGAGTCTGACAGTAAATCAGGGAGTATTTGACTCCGGACTCCCGTTAATTTCTCACCCTGTAAGCCTGTTTTTTATTGGACTACAACGCGTGAGCAGCCAATCAGAATACAGTTTATACAGTTTGGAATGTCAGACAGGCTGACATTCGGAACGTCTCGCGCGTGATCATAAACCACGTGGCCACAAACCCACTATTAGTCAAAAGTGGGTGATTTTTTATCGACACATCCAATAATATGGGGTGTTGGTAGTAGATGGCTTACTCTGTGCGTGTGTGCGTGTGTGCGTGCGTGCGTGCGTGTGTGTGCATGTGTCAAGTTCTGTATCACTGTCTCAATAGTCACTAGCTACTTCAATACAAAGTTACAGCTAGCTACATGTACATAGCTAATTAAAATGTAACAATCAACGATTTAATTTTAGCAATTGGTATATTTATTTACTCTAGATGACAAACAGACCATAAGGTAACACATTGTTGTCATTGAATAAGGATACAAAATAAAACCAAAAAGTACAGCACATAACTTTTAGGGTCAGATATCGAAACTGTTAAGGGGGTTCCAGGGTACAGTTATTGGTAAGATGCACACGCATGCGCGCAAACACTCACACATACACACACAATCTATAAACTCTGCAAAACTGATCCATACTCATACTTATAATATACATTTTACTTTGCAACATGAGAAACCGGCAAGGCTTATAAAGTATTATATAGACAACACAGCCTAATAGTAAATTGACACCCGTTTCGGGGCAGCTAAACAAGTTACCTAGTGTTTGCTAAATGTGATAGAGGGGCTGAAGGTACCTTTATGTGAATTAAACAAATTTAAATATCTATAAATTAAGTAAATGGTTTCATAACAGTTCTTTTTTTTCCTTGGACCAGAGTTGTAAGCGCAGACAATTCCTGCAGAGTACTATAACAGTACCTTAAGCTGTAGTTAAGTTTCATTTATATAAATTAAAGTTGCATGTTAAAAAAATAAGAACCTCAACTCCAACATTCGCATTTCTGATGGCCTGAACCAAATGTGGGATTTTTGTGCTGGCAGGAAGAGCTTCATATGCAGTCTGCAAATAAGAAAAATGCACTGATTAATTACGCTCGTAATAAAATAGCATTTATATTGATCAATGTATCATCAGCATGACATATGAAATATAAAAAGTTCACACTATTCAATAACTAGGGTTACTCTACAGCTACACCTAAGACAATTTTTACCAGCACCCTGTCAAATAAAACTTTGAATGGTGTAGATAACAATAAATTTCATTGAGGCCCTACATAAATTAAATAGGGTTGGCTACACTGCCTATAAATTTAGTTCTACTTATAGTCCTATAGCCTATACTGTTACTCTATAAAGGAAACATGTTGAAGTTTAATGTATAATATATCAATAAACATTAACATGTCATTATTAACATTGACAGCATACTGAAGCTTATCACGAGGGTTCTGAATAATGCTGCATTCCAACGCGTGAGTGATGTTACATCCCGAGGAATGAGAAGCACACAGACCTACTCATCTCTAAGCTAAATATAGAACAACACGAGGCAGCAGAGTTCAGTCTTCAGCCTCAAACACGTGGCTCTGTAGGTATATTACCAGTATTGCACAACCAAAGGCACGTCATCAAATTTAGTGGCCCTACATCACTTAACTCTGTTCTGTACCTACCAAATTAACCAGGACGGATAAACACTAAAGTCGCGAATAGAATGACTACGGCGGGTACCATGCAGTATGTATTTATTGCCGACAACACGAGAATGAACGTCTGCAAACCACGTCAAACTTGCACAGACTGACAACAATGTTACATGTAGCGTGAAAATGGGCCCAACTAAAACAAAGTATAACGGACGATTACGATTGTTTGTGTAATATATAAATACCCTCTAATGAGTTCGATTACATATCAGCTAGATTTTACAATACGAATACACCAGTTTTACATACTGATGCGAACATGATTGAAGACATCCGTCGTTAACTTATCCGAGTTATCATCCATGCACTAATTTGTTAGCACATGCTCAAACGCAGCGGAGAACGCTGCTTAATCAAATCATTTTTAGCTCAAATATATTGATATGTCGCATGGACACAAATGCTATTGTATAGAACGTCAATACAGCGTAGTTTTACCTCTGTTTGGTTTCTCAGATCATTATCAGTTGTCATCAAACTAGCCAAAAGAGTTTCAAACTGCTCCTGTTCGGACGCCATCTTTCTGGTACAGTAGTCAGTACCGTGTGGCGCGGCAAAAGTGTGCCCTTTGACATCGCCGGCCAAATATGAGCCAATCAAAATCTATTTATTCTTTGAGTTATATATAGGGGGCAGCACCAACGTCACAGTTAGCCGGAAGTGTGCGTCGAAATATTCATCCTGTTCATGGGAGTAAACTTCTTTTCTGTTGTAGACTCATCATCTTTGTATTCTATAAACTTGTAATTTAGTTCAGATTGACAAAACTGTAGGTAAGTCAGACGTATATGAAACAAAATCACCCTACATGTATCGCGATCTTTAAAAAAAGTTCATTTCGTTACGATCAATCTCATGTTCTGTAGACTGTATCATGTATGGGGCCTAACTATGTAAAAATGTCAACACCCATATTCACCAGGCAGTTGACAGTGCTGACTGTCAGTGCAGAGACAGTGACAGTGGGTGACGCTTCAGTGAGAAAGAAGTGAATTATGAAAATACTTTGTAACAACATGATGCTCCACGTTAAAACTTGTCCCGCTTGCTATAATAACATAACAATGAACTACCTAAATAACACACAATTTCACAAGTGACTTGTAAATGTGATCACGTTAACTTCGCTGACAAGCAAACCTGCCTTCACTTACTAGCTCCACCTGTGGCTATTCGTATCCCGCTACGTGGCTCTATGAACAACATTGGTGGGAACAACCGTGAATGTTTTCATCGGCGGCGTGTTACACCGCAGGGTTCTCCCAGATGAATTCAAAAAGGGGGAAGGCGGGGGAAACTAGGGGTCGCCGTCCGGGGCGGCGTTTTTTTTACCTTACCACTTAATTATGCGTTAAAATCCCACCACACATAGACGGTATTTGGGGTTCTTGTATGTATATATAAGAATAGCCGAGTCGCGTGTACGTTAGTGTTGGCGTTCGGTACAAGGCTTAACGTTTGTACTTGTGTATTGTCGAAAAGGTGCATGGCTGGCTGGGAAAATTACACACGCCGCGTGTCCTGGTCAGAATGCGAATTCCTTGACGATCTAATTCCGCGCTTGCAAAACTTTTATTTGGATGCGAATTAATCGGGCGGAGCGTAATTTAAAACGGGGCGCAACTATTGAAACAGGCGGGAGTTTCCCCAACGGGGCGGCGCGCGCCCTTGCGCCAAACGTAGGAGAACCCTGAAACTGCGTAGCTACTCGTCAGTAGTACTTGTAGCCTTGTTCACCACAGGTTGTTGTGCTGCGAACAGGGCGCTCTAGGCCTAGAGCTAAGTTAAACGGTAGCTTGTGATACATAGAATTATGCTAGCGGCCAGATAAACGTCGTGACTTTTAAACTGCTACTCTCAATTTAACCACCTACCAGTGGTTAGAAGCATGCATATTTTGTTAAAATACGCACTAAAACATTCATTTACATACACTGTACCAGGTGAGAAATTAACGGGAGTCCGCGAGTCAAATACTACCCTGATTTACTGATCGGACTCCCTGCATTGACATATGCATAGTCCGTGGACATCCCTGAAATTCTGCCCATACTAACTACATATGTACGTTCGCTTCCAAGAGTACCGCCTCGCAGAATTACCGTATTTTTTCAAGCTAATGTCCAAGAAAATTGGCAGACATGCCAACCGCATGAATCTTAAAATAAGCCACATGCCGTTATTTTTAATATCTTTATATGGGTTGAACCTCAGACTGAGGCTCCCGTCATTTTGCTCGGACTCCCTCTTTTTGAGGGCCAAGCAGCTCCTCGTGACTCAAAGTTAATTCTACCCCTGATGCTACAAAACATAGAGTACAGATCGCTACCAATTTCCCACAGTGTGCATTAAAAGTGACAGTGTACCGCGAGTTTTTGCGCTCAGAAAACAACGGAAATATAGCAGATATAGTCTCAGCCTGACAGTCTGGAAATATCACTATTATACCAACATATCAAAACACCAAGATTTTATGCAGTGATATTATAGCATAGAAAAATTGATTTGACCATCATCATACCAGCAATAAATTTTCGATACGTGACTCTCAAAAATTACAAATGGCGTCTCAAACAGCGAACTAATTAAAACAAAAGGGCAGTGCCATTCTGCTTTAATAAATATTATTGATTTTTTATTGTCAATATTCAGAGCACTTTCTCATTGTCATTCCCCTGTTACTATCTCACTGGCAAATCCAACAAGCTTATCTAATAACAGACTACGGCATAGTACTACACTGCACCCCTGTTTCGTAGTAGAGCGGGTGTGTTTACACTCTGACCTGATTTTACGTGCTGGTATGCATTCTGCACCGTGAAGTCAGTCTCGGCTACCACGAAAATTCGAGAGCGATGCAAACGAATAACACAAACAACGAAACAACAAAAATTGTATCGTGCGCATGATTTCATTGGATTTTTGAATACGAAGGTTCTAAGACATTTTATCGTTACTCTAAGACAATTGCTGTTACTCAAGCAATAAACGGTAAGGTATCATGAAAAGTGGGAAAACACTAGAAAATTCTCAGGGTACACACTTTAAATGTATACAAACCTACTGAGAGTACAATTACTGTAGTATTCTTCACGTATTCGTAACGTTCGTGCTTTCATGTTGTAAGCCTTTCTCGGAAACACCCGTGAGTGTCCTAAATAAATTTACTCGACCGTTTCCGTAACCACCAGTTGGATTAGTGGTATATAGTAAGCCCAGGGTTAGAAATTAACTTTTGAACAAGGGAGTCGCAACGGACTCCTGTCCTCAAAAAGATGGAGTACGTAGCAAAATGAGGGAGTCCGTAGTCTGAAGTTCAAAACTAAGCACAACAACAATAACGCATGTGCGTATTTGAAGATTGATGGCGATGATTGTCTGCCAAATGTTCTTTGGACATTTGCTGAAAAAATACGGTAATTCCGTGAGGCTGTGCTCTGGAACGAACTTTTTAGTATAGCAGAATTTTCAGGGAGTCCCACGCACTCCTGCAGATGTCGAATCAGAGTCTGACAGTAAATCAGGAGTATTTGACTCCGGACTCCCGTTAATTCTCACCCTGTAAACCCGTTTTTTATTTGGACTACAACGCGTGAGCAGCCAATCAGAATACAGTTTATCAGCTTGGAATGTCAGACAGGCTGACATTCGAACGTCTCGGGCGTGATGCATAAACCACGTGCCACAACCCACTATTAGTCAAAAGTGGGTGATTTTTTATCGACACATCCAATATAATGGGGTGTTGGTAGTAGATGGCTTACTCTGTGTGTGTGTGTGTGTGCGTCGCTGCGTGGCGTGCGTGCGTGCGTGCTGACGCGCGTGCGTGTGCGTGCGTGAGGCGTGCGTGCGTGTGTGTGCATGTGTCAAGTTCTGTATCACTGTTTCACTTAGTCACTAGATATTCAATACAAAGTTACAGCTAGCTACATGTACATAGCTAATTAAAATGTAACAATCAACGATTTAATTTTAGCAATTGGTATATTTATTTACTCTAGATGACAAACAGACCATAAGGTAACACATTGTTGTCATTGAATAAGGATACAAAATAAAACCAAAAAGTACAGCACATATATGCACTTGGCACGCACACACGCACTTACACAATGCAAGCAGAGTTGTACAACTTGGAAAGCAAAATACTTTCAGTACTCACTGGTAGAAAAAATTATGAGTACCGTATTTGGCGAATACTCATGGTAAAATTGAGCATGAGTACCATGAGTACCCAAATGATTTGAAAATTGATGAGTAAATACTCTCCCAATCCAAAAATTAGCTGGAGCCCTACCTACCTACCTACATATCTACCTACCCATCTACGTGCCTTCCTATCTATTTACCTATCCACCCACCTACCTGCCTACCTACCTACCTAGCTACCTACCTACCTACATATCTACCTACCCATCTACGTACCTTCATACCTACTTACCTATCCACCCACCTACCTGCCTACCTACCTACCTACCTACCTACCTACCTACCTACCTACCTACCTACCTACCTACCTACCTACCTACCTACCTACCTACCTACTTTATGTGGGGTGGCACGTGTTGGAAAGCTAATGAATGCATTCCTGACAATGCCTTTCATGGAGACAGATAACTTGGAAATTTCATGTCTTAATGTTTAAGAATTTGTACATCTGGGAGAATTTTTGACCAAACACCGTCCCAATTTCCTAACGGAACCCCTGTCCTAAACTTATTGTAGCTCTTTTTTACAACTCAAGCCTGTAACGTAGGAGCAGCCCCATCATCAACCCACCATGATTAGACCATGGCTTTGTCGTGCGAAACATCCAAACTCATGGGAGTCGCTGCTTGCCTGCTGGGAATGCACGTCTGACTTAATAATAATATATGTCTGTAACGTTAACATACCTTACAGATATGTCATATGAGCTGTATACATGTGTGTGTTTACATATATGTGCATGTGTGCATGTGTGTGTGATGAAGCCAGACAGTAGCCGATAAATTGCTCGGCTGGCCAAAATTAGATTTTCACTAGACTAGAAGTCTAGGACAATCGTTGTTATTATCACTGACGTCTGGGAGTAGAGCCAATTGAAACTGTCCCACTGAGTATTGCTCTGCTCAGTAGCTGGTCGGTTGTAATCAGCGAGTACTACTATCAACCTATGTGTACATAGTTTCATAGTACCAATGAATGCGTACTTACCTTTCTGTGAACTTAAATGTTTGTCGGTTGGGAAGGAGGGAGCCGGCCAAGAAGGTAGGTGGATTGGTAGGAGGTACACGTAGGTGTTCGTGTGGTATGCTATCATACATTCTACATTCTGCGTTGTGATACGGGCTCTGATATTCTACCCTAACTTGGCCGCTACCTCGCTACGTTCCAGAGCGCAGCTGTGAGTTCTGCGAATCGATCGCCTGCTGTGTAAAGCACAAGCCGACATGTGGAGGGGTGCGGCGGGACACAACGTCGACCTGAGCGGGCACAATGGCGGCGACGCCGACGACGATGACTGGGAGACGGATCCCGACTATTCGAATCAGATGTCGGAGCACGACCAGCGCTACGGAGCACCAGACCGCGGCCACGTCGAGTACGTTCTTATGTTTCTCGGGGTTCTCGTCAGGCCTTCAGCGCATGTCGGGTCCGACGTGCCATCAAAGCTACATAGCTACTTTGCGACAGCCCATAAATCCTCCAACGTGCATTAATTGACCAAAATGGCACGGCATCATTTTGCAGCTGTATTTAGTTTTAACAAGCCCAGCACAGTCATGCTATTTTCAGAGCTTGATTTGTAAATGTTTGAACTGATTGACTTTACTTTACCTGTTTATTGGGGGCTGTTTATAACACTCGTATTGAATACCAATTGGTTCAACCCCTTTCTGGGCCATCCCCCATTCACCCCCATCATAAATGACATGACTTCTTGTTGCGGTCGATTTGAAATGGACAGGCTTAGTGTAAACTCATAATAAAGAGAGGGAGAGTCAATTTGAAATGGACAGGCTAGTGTGAACTCATAATAGAGAGATGGAGGGTCAAGTCATACTTGGCAGAGTTGGAATCAAGTCATGATCGACAGAGTTTCACTCAAACTGTAATTAACAGAGTTGTACAATTGTTATACACAGGATTGGGGTTAATTCCTAACGGAGAGTATTAATGTTGACTCGTAGAAACATTTTGGGTAAGATAGCTACTCTAAAAATAGGCCCAACTGTTTGGCGCTGTGCATGCATTGTGGAATTGCATTTGCAGCATGAAAGAGCTACGGGAAGGCGTGAAGAAAGACGAGGATATTTCAAGGGCTGAGCATGGTCCCAAGTCTTCCCATGGCTACGGAGGAAAGTTTGGAATCGAGACGGGTCGAATGGACAAGGCAGCTAAGGGGCATGATTTCATTGAGAAGGTGGACAAGCATGCCTCCCAGAAAGGTATGATGAGAGCATAGCGTGTGGATCTGTGACGAATTCCTTGTATTGTTAATTGCGTATTGGTAATTTTCAACATCTTTTGAGTTTCTATGATCAAGGTTCAATGGTCAATAGAATGTAGAGGTGTTTATTAGTGTTACATTATTATTAATGATATTCACAAATAAATATAACTGTTAAATTTGCAAATGTATCTTCTAGCCTAGATGGTCTGTGCCAACGAAATGCCTTTACACAATAGATTCTCCTACAGATGGCTCTGCATGACAGTGTAGTATCATACATTATGTTTATATACGTGTGTACTTACGTACCTATATGTGTATTGTTCTATTGCTGAAATTTGGTTATTAGTAATGCTTAGTGTATGCTCGCAGTCATATTTTTGTGCAGTGAACATTTTATTTTGTGGTATAATTCTGTCTGTGCATGTATGCACGTATGCATATTGGTGATGTGGACTTTGCTGTACTTAAATTGCACGTAAGCAGGTTTGTTGCCAACTACCGCCGTGTTGGTTGATCCTTACACGGTGCAAAATTCATGGTAGTTTTGTAGTTCCAGATTTATATCCGTAATTATCAGATTTATTCCTAGACTTTTTGAAAACAGAAAACAGTAGTCCTGTGAACTACTGTCAGTTTATATTTATATTACATAAGAAAAAAAGACAAAAAAAGACAAATCCAAGACATTCTAAACTCGGGATATAACTGTTGAGACCTCCAATTTCAAATTTTCAGTCTATACCATTACCATATATAAATTGTATGGAGAAAAGGTTTATATGAGTGTAAGCAGTGTGTACAACCTGTTAATGTTTATAATCAAAACATTTGAGCTGGATCAAACTACTATCGTAAAACGTCTATAAACTACCAGTCTTTCTCTCAGCCTGTGAAGTTAGACTTTAGCCTGCATGATTGCAGCTGCTGCGCAAATGAAAAGGAATTTTACACCCTGGGCTCGCACATGATGCGCGCTGGTGGCACCACGCCACCGACTCGCACGTTTGTGACATCAGATGGCACGTTCCGATTTTTTTGTCCCAACTGTAGACTACTCGGCTGGGTTCGGTGGCAAGTATGGAGTGCAGGAGGATCGCGTGGACAAAGCTGCTGTTGGCTGGGACCACAAGGAATCCGTTGCCAAGCATGAATCCCAGAAAGGTTTCGCTACCATTATCCTCGCAACCTGAAAATGTCTCGTTGCGGCGGCAGCACGTGTTTTGCTGTTCGTGCACGAGAGCACTTCGTCTCTCGTCGCGTGTATAGTGTTAATTGGATCATTAGCTGTGATACGAAAGAAGGATGATTATGCTAATGAAATGAGATTCCATCTTGTAGCTGCGGTGATGTCTCAATTAATTTAATAATATTTATTTATTATGCGTGTGCAGTGTTGTGTTTACTGTGCATAAAACAAACAAAAACAAAGTAAGGGGTTATATTAATAACAATTGGTAATCGGGTTTTTGTTTTGGTTAGCACAGTGTCCGGTTTAATTAGTGCCTTGTTTAAAAGTGTGTGAAATAACAAAACTGCAAAAACAGATTAATGCAAACAAAAGAAGAACTAACAAACTGTATTTAACAATCCCTTCCTCTGATAATAACACCAGTGTTCAATTAATGTGTGATGAGCTTGATAAAGTGCATGTTGAAATGTCAGAACTGCTTTTTTTGCCGATGAAAATTAGACACCATTACTACAATGCTGATTGCCGCAGGGATGAATCTCTGCTTTGAGTACAGCTGCTTAGTAAAGTGCCTGGTGTGCAGTTAACATAATCACCTGCCTGCTATTTCAATATGCCTACAGAAAATTTGGCCATCGTTTTTCTGCAGTCGTGCCAGCCAGTCAAATACTTCAGGAGTGATTGGGGTGTTCGGCAGCTCTTTGTCAGCCAACTATAAATCAAACTAGAGTACCGTAGTGTGGTTGGCAATTGCAGACTAGCAGATTCGTGATCACTAATCTAGTACTCTCCTATCGTTCCCTGATTAACAGCTCACTCGTAGGGTATTGTTTCCTGCTTGGGTTGCATGCATTGTGAAGTTTTTCATTCTTGTCTTGTAAACTAACAGCTGCATGTGTCGTGTTTTTGATTTGCATATATAAATCTCATGTTCTGTAGACTGTATCATGTATGGGGCCTAACTATGTAAAAATGTCAACACCCATATTCACCAGGCAGTTGACAGTGTGACTGTCAGTGTGTCACGAGTGTCACTGACACTGTCAGTGTCAGAGACAGTGACAGTGAGTGACGCTTCAGTGAGAAAGAAGTTAATTATGAAAAATACTTTGTAACAACATGATGCTCCACGTTAAAACTTGTCCCGCTTGCTAACAATAACATAACATTAACATTAACAATGAACTACTTAAATAACCACACAACTTCACAAGTGACTTGGCAATGGTATCACGTTAACTTCGCTGACAAGCAAACCTGCCCTTCACTTACTTAGCTCCACCCCTGTGGCTATTCGTATCCCGCTACGTGGCTCTATGAACAACATTGGTGGGGAACAACCGTGAATGTTTTCACTCAGCGTGGTAGGTTAACCGGTAGCTCTAGTAGTAGTACTGTAGCCCTTGTTCGCCACAGGTGTGTGTGGCGAACAAGGGCTATAGGCCTAAGGCTAGTTAAACGGTAGCTTGTGATACAATAGAAATATATGCTAGCCGGCAAGATAAACGTCGTAACTTTAAACTGCTACTCTCAATTTAACCTACCTACCCAGTGGTTCAGATAGCATGCATATTTTTGTAAAATACGCACTGAAAACATTCGTTTATGCATACATGTACCAGGGTGAGAAATTAACGGGAGTCCGAGGTCAAATACTCCCTGATTTACTGTCGGACTCCCTGATTTGACATATGCAGGAGTCCGTGTGACTCCCTGAAAATTCTGCCATACTAACTACATATGTAGTTCGTTCCAAGAGTACGGCCTCGCAGAATTACCGTATTTTTTCAGCTAATGTCCAAAGAAAATTTGGCAGACATGCAAGCGCATGAATCTTAAAAATAAGCACATGCGTTATTTTTAATATCTTTAATTTTGAACCTCAGACTGAGGACTCCCTCATTTTGCTGCGGACTCCCTCTTTTTGAGGGCAAGCAGTCCGTCGTGTTCAAAAGTTCGTGTTTTCATGTTGTAAGTCTTTTCTGGGAAACCACCCGTGAGTGACCTAAATAAATTTACTCGACCGTTTCCGTAACCACCAGTTGGATTAGTGGGTATATAGTAAGCGCAGGGTTAGAAATTAACTTTTGAACAAGGGAGTCCAACAGACTCTGCCCTCAAAAAGAGGGAGTCCGTAGCAAAATGAGGAAGTCCGTAGTCTGAAGTTCAAAACTAAAGCACAACAACAATAACGCATGTACGTATTTGAAGATTCATGCGATGCATGTCTGCCAAATTTTCTTTGGACATTTGCTGAAAAAAATACGGTAATTCCGTGAGGCTGTGCTCTGGAACGAACTTTTTAGTATAGCAGAATTTTCAGGGAGTCCCACATTACATACAAAAATTTCAGCTCCTAACCAGATTACTACACATTGGAATACGACACTAAATTTAATCACAGAACATGCACAAATTCAAAATAAACCGTATACTTATTTATTCATCATTTAATTAAGACTGAAACTATGACAGGCTTACCTGAGGATCAGGAGTGCAGCCTCTCTCAAGGCCGCATTCGGAGAGCTGACCAGATCGAACAGGAACTTGAGTGACTCTGGCCAATGGTTTACACCCTCCTCATCTAAAACAGCAGAGAGTCATCAGTTAAAGCATCAGCAAGCAGAATTGGCTACGAGAAAATTGCATTCTTTTATTTTATTCAATCAACACTCAACAGTCTCTGTTTTTACAATGGATTTTCCCATGTGTGTCACTATGCTTTGCTAATGAAAGACAGACTAAAACTTCAACAGCAGAAATCAGATTTCAGTCTGATACATTCATGTTCCTTCCCAGCAACATTATAACACAAAGATTACCACAAATTCAGCACGCGTGGTGCATATTACCGCTCGTAACACCGACGATTTCCAAACGGATACTATTATACAGAGCTGGCAATAACGCGCCCGGTCTAATGCGCAATCAAAGCGTATTATATTTCTACGCGAAACTTTACGACGACAGTTTCAGGGGGGCTCACTCACTACGAGGGCTCAGCGTTCGTGTCAGTTCTCGCAGAACGCAGGTTACAACGCAACGCGGCAGCGGTCCCTCGCCGGTTTCTTTGGCCGTCGCACTTTTTTCGATCGTTTTTTAAACCGACCTTTTCGCGATCGCGATCGTGCGCGCGCGTCCGTCCGCGAGACTCACCGATGAAGCTCCTCGCGAGCTCGGCGACGACGTCGCACACCTTCTTGCGCACGACATCGTTCTGCTCCTCGTGCACGGCGAGCAGCAGCTGCTCCTTCATGCCCGCCTGGATCTCGGGCGCCAGCGTCGGGTAGAACTCGTCGAACGAGCCGATGATGAGTCGCCGCAGCAGCAGTGCTGCCATCTGTCGCACCTGGCGTCAAGCGAACGTATCGTCACGGGCCGGGTCATGTTCAGTGTGGGTGGGGTGGGGGTGGGGGGGAGGATGCGTGCGCGTGGTTGCCTAGGCGACGCAAGCATCAGGATGCGGTAAAACGAGGTAGCATCGGAAGTCTTAGGAATGACTAGGACGCGCCCAACGCGATAGTGTAGCGTCAATATCGAGACGGCGTGACAGAGTGAGACAGCGAGAGAGAGAGAGAGAGAGAGAGAGAGGAGGGGAGAGAGAGCGAAAGAAAGAAAGAAAGAGAAAGCGCGCGCGAGAGAGAGAGAGAGAGAAAGAAAAAGAGGTGGGTGAGAGAGAGAGAGAGGAAAAGGGGAGATGTGGTGAAAGAGAGAGAGAGAGAGAGAGAGAG